ACTGTCAAAAGGGGAAAAAAAACCATCTTGGAGGAAGAATAACCATGTGATGGTACAGGATTGGACAGGGTTCAGATCTGTGGTTCCTAGGGATCCTATGAGTTATCAACACAACGGTACCTAACAACAACACCAACACAGGTTTGTTATGAATTGGAATCAACTCAGTGGCAAAAGATGTAATAAATAAACCTCAAATCAATGAACATTTGATTGCGCTTATGTGAAACCTATACTTGGACCAAGAGGCAGTCGTTGGAACAGAGAAAGGAGACACTGCATGGTTCAAAATTGGAAAGGGCATCCGCCAGGGATGTATTCTGTGTCCCTATCTTTTCAATTTATATGCAGAACAGATCATTTGGGATGTTGGACTTTATAAGGAGGAACATAGCATCAGGATTGGTGGAAGATTCATCAACAACCTGCATTATGCAGATGACACAACTTGCTGAAACAGGAGAACCTGAAGGGCTTGCTGCAGAGGGTCAAAGACTGCAGCCTTCACTATGGATTGAAGCTCAACATCAAGAAAACAAAGATTCTCACCACGGGGCCAACTGGCAGCATCAGTATGTATGGTGAAGAGATTGAGATAGCTAACAGTTTTAGTTTGCTTGGCTCCACAGTCAAAACTCTTGGTACCAGCAGCCAGGAAATCAAGAGACAAATTGCATTAGGAAAGTCAGCTGTCAGTGACCTCTCTAGAGTACTGAAGAGCAACGACGTCAGGCTAGAGACTAAGGTGCACCTGTTTTGGGCCATAGTCTTCGCAATTGAATGCTATGCATTGGAGAGCTGGACAGGGACGAGGGATGATAGAAAGAGAATTGATGCCTTTGAGTTGTGGTGCTGGAGAAGAGTGTTGAATATACCATGGACTGCTAGGAGAACAAACAGGTTTTTTCTGGAGAGGTTGAAACCAGACTGCTCCTTGGAGTCAAGGCTTCTGAAGCTTTGTCTGACATGCTTAGGGCATGTTGCAAGGAGGGACCAGTGATTTGAGAGGAACATCATGTTTTGGAAAGTGGAAGGACGGAGCAGGAGAGGAAGACCTTTGATAAGATGGATCGATTGATTTAGTGATTGGGGTAGTGGGATAGGTGTGCCAGAGACAGTGAGGTTGGCACAGGATAGAGCAGGGTTTAGGCGTCTTGTACGTACGGTCACTATGAATCGCAAGTGAGTCAACGGCACATGACAACAACAACAACAATGTATATTATTAGTTTAATATATTTTTAACAAACCTTAGGATGTAATTATATATCTACATAATAGGGCACTCTGATGGACTAGTGGGTAAGGAGTTGAGCTGTCAACCCAGTAGTGAACATTTTGAATTCATCAGCTGCTTCGAGAGAAAAAGGAACAATCTTCTCCCATGTAATTTACAGCCTTTGCAAATCTATCAGATGGTGAGTTATGATTTGATTTTAATTCAGTGACAATGATCAATACAAAACTCTACATAATTAAGTAATGCTTATGCCCGTGCCTTGTTGTTGCTGTTAAGTGCTGTCATAATAGCGATACGATGAATAACAGATGTGAACCCTGTTCTATTCTGTGCCATCCTCATTATTTCTGATATGCTTGAGCCCACTGCTGCAATCACTGTGTTAATGTATCTCCCTGGGGGGGGGGGGTGTCTTTCTTGCGCTGACTTTCCACCTTCCCAAGCATGATACCCCTTTCCACGGGATAGCCTCTCCTAGCACATGTCTAAGATATGAGATGAAGTTTTGCCATCCTGCCTCCATGGAGCACTCTGGCTGCATTTTTTCGAGGACTTATCTGTTTGTTCTTTTGGCAATCCATCGGATATTCAGTACTATTCTATAACAACACAACACAACAACAACAACACTCTTTAACAACACAACTCAAAGACATCTATTATTCAACTGTCATCCTTATTCATTGTCCAGTTTCCAGATACACAGTGATTGAACAGACTATAACCTAAATCAGGCTCACCTTAGCCTTCAAATTAACATCACTTCTCTTCAAGTATTTTGTAGAGGTTCTTGACAAAGGACTTGCTCAAAGTAATGCGTCTCCACATAACTAGGTAGTGTTTATGGTCATTTGGTAAAGTTGTCCATAGTTCTCCTCAGTCTTTGAACTCTAAGCCTTTCATCAAGAAGCATATAGTTGCTATCATTGCAATCATTCTGTGCCTGTGTGTGTACTCATATAGACTCATTAACATGCAGTAGAGTGGAACTGTAAAAACATTTGGTTTGGAGAAAATAGAAAGTACTCAGTGTAAAAATTTATTGCTTCCTAAGAAGCTGTAGCAATAATCCTTGCTTAAATAAATCCTAAATCTCACCCTTTCAGCTGGGCCTCAGTGCTTCCGCCCACCTTATGTTCCGCTGAGCACCTTGGCATGCTTATAGGTTGCCTGATGTAAAGTTGTGAATCAAAGTTCAGGCAAAAGAATAATGCTATATGTAACAGAGTGAGACTAATCTGGAGTTTAGAGAGTGTTCTAGAAAGGAGGAAGGTAACATGCTGAGAGGCTGGAGCAGAGCTGTGGGAATGATTGAAGAACTATTTTAAGGGTGCTGCGGGGTGGCCATGAGCCTGGGCTGAAGTTGAGAGCGCTAACAAGAATATTCAATTTTTGAATACTCGGTCCAAATCGTTAGTAAATCAACCTCAACTTTTGAAGCTTTGCTTATGGCATTAACTAAATATACGAAATTATTTAGTCCTTTGCTCACTATTTGTTGTTTTGTACCATTTAGTTGGAACCAACCGGTAGCTGACCCTCCCGCGGGTTTTCAGAGGCAGTTAATCTCATGGGAGGAGATTGCCCTTCCTTCTCGCTGCGTTTAGTGGTTTCAAACTGCGTGTTTTCAAGAGCTAGTGAATAGAGAGCTGTGCTGCTTGTTGCTGGCAGATCAAATCTGCAGCTGCTCCACGGGAGAAAGATGGGCGCTGAAACCCCAAGGGAAAGTCAACTTTTAGTTCAGGATCCACAATGAGTCCGTAAGCGAGTGTGGTGATGTTGTTGTTTGTTGTTATGTGCCATTGTGTCGTTGAGTCGTTTGAGACTCATAGCGACCCTATGTACAACAGCCCTAACCCCTGCTCTATCCTGTGCCAATCGCATTGCCTCTGACACACCCATCCCGATTACCCCAGTCACTGAATCAATCCACCTCATAGAGGGTCTTCCCCTCCTGCGCTGTTCTTCTACCCTACCAAGTATGATGTCCCTCTCCAAGAATCGGTCTCTCCTTACAACATGTCCAAAGTATGTCAGACGAAGCCCCAGAATCCTTGCTTCCAAGGATTAGCCTGGTTTAACCCTCTCTAGGATGAATCTGTTTTCTTGGCAGTCCGTGGAACATTCAATACTCTTCTCCAGCACCACAGCTCAAAGGCGTCAATTCTCCTTCTAATACTCCCTAGTCATTGTCCAACTCTCTGATGCATAACAAGTGATTGCAAAGACCATGGCCTGTATCAGGCGCACCTTAGTCTCCAGAGAAACACCGTTACTCTTGAGTACTTTAGAGAGGTCCCTAACCTCAGACTTTCCCCTCGCAATATGTTTTTTTATTTCCTGGCTACTGGTGCCAAGAGTGTTGACCGTGGAGCCGAGCAAACTGAAGCTGTGAACAATCTCAATCTCTTCGCCATCCATCCTGATGCTACCTATTGGTCCAGTGGTGATGTATTCTGTAGTAAATTGTGCCGCTTAACCCCGAAGGCTGTCATTGGGATTCACCAACTAATTGCTGTTACGTGTTGTAGCCTTAGAAATCCTATGGAGGGCCATATGAGTAGCAACCGACTGAAAGGCCGTGAATTTGAGTGAGTGTTCACTGTTTCAAGTCTGGAAATGGAGTAGCCAAACCAAGACTCTTAGCTAGTTAAAGGCGCAGCGCAGTTAAAATGGAGAGATCTATTAAACACATTGCTGACGGTGGCAAGAATGACTGCAGATAAATATTCCCGCTGAACTGCGATATTATTGAGGACCACACCCCGCATTAGAGGCACTACTTTTTGGGAAATGTGCATGAGCAGGGAGTTTTCGGAAAGCGCTTCCAGCGACGACAACAGCAGTGTGTGGGAACAGAGCGTGTCTCGGTCCTTGAGCGCCTATGTTCACTAAGACTGAGGACAGAAGAAGCAGGAAGGGGTTTTGTATTACAAAAGGGCGTGGGGAAGGGGGCAGAACACTGCAAAATGAAAGCCACAGCCACGGCCAGACTTCGCAGCCTGGCGAATGAGGTGGCCCGTGAGCTGGGGAGATTCTAGCTTTGGAGCTTACCTCTGTGCGCGGCCCGGGTACCACCCGGAGAGATGTACGTGACCCCAGCAACCTCCCAAGCCGGGGGAGGCAGGGGGCCAGGCTTCGACTCAAGGGGCGGGACTTGTGCGCGCTCTCCCGCCTCTCACTCCGCCTCTCTTCTTGCCTGGACCCCGCCCCGCGGCGTTTGGGGCTGGGCTTCAACTCAGGGGGCGGAATTTACCCACGCTCTTTCCGCTTCCCACCCTGAGACCCGCCCCGTGGCGTAAGGGGCCGGTGTTCGACTTGGGGGCGGAACTTGGGGGGGGCATACTCCTTGCCTCATACCCCGCCTCCCTTCCAGCCTGGGCCCCGCCCTGTGGCCTACGGGGCCGGGTTTCAGCCCACGGGGCGGGGCTTGCCCTCGCTTTTCCCGCCTCCTCCCTGGGCCCCGCCCTCAGGGCCAGGGGCTGGGCTTCACCTCGGGGGCGGGACTTGGGCTAAAGCTCCTCCCCTCTCTCCTTTCCTGGACCCGCTTCGCAGCGTAGGGGGCGGGCTTTCGGCTCGTGGGGTGGGGCTTGTGTACGCTCTCCCGGCTTTCTTCTATGGGCCCCGCCCGCGGGGCCGGGGGCTGGGCTCCGAGGAGGGGGCGGTGTCCGTGGGGTGACTGCCGCTCTTGTTCCCGCGGCCAGCCACGTCCCTCACGTAGCGCCCAGCCGAGCCCAGCACCCGAGGCGCGGAGCTCTGGCTCCTCTTCGTGGTTCGGTATGCAACTGCCGCGGCTCCTGCGGGGAGCCGCCACGGTGGGCCCTGGCCCCACGCTACGCTTCCTCCGGCCGGGAGCCAGCCGCAGCCTCAGCGCGGACTCCGGATCCGGCCCTGCGGTCGAGCGCAGCCTTCCCGGCCAAGTGGATTTCTATGCGCGCTTCTCGCCGTCCCCGCTCTCCATGAAGCAGTTCCTGGACTTCGGTGAGTGCAGCGCGGGCCTTCGGCCTTTGTGCGCGCCCGGGCGGGGGAGGTGCCGTGCTGGCCCCCCCTGTCTCCTTAGGACTCTTTACCATTTCCTCCACCAGCGACTTTGGACGCTTCCTTCATTCCCCGTGGATCCTTAAGCTCTGGTGAAGGAGCTTGCAGCCCGAGTGAATAACTGGGGCTCTGTGTCTTTTTACTGTCTATTGTTGAAAACATACCAGAATGACCTCCTGCCTTTGAGCGCACGTGGGACAGCCGGGCCTCTTTTTTGGAGCCGAGGTGTGGGGAGGAGCGAGAGCGTGGACACCCCCAGGAATCGAGTTCTTCAGAGTCACATATGCTCAATTATTCATATGACTGCATAAAATCAGCGTGATGTTAGCAGGTTATAACTGGTTCTAAGTTTCGTAGAATGTTTCCTCAAGTGTCTTAGTGTGTTTGCACCAGCAACAGTTTGATTTCATCAGCAGAAAATAGTCTTGACCACGTGTAAGGTGCATGGGTGCAAGAAGCATGGCTTTACCACACACGTCCCATCCGCATGAAAGCCACAATCTACTTACCGTCTGCCCAGAGTTATGCTTCCTGATTTTCCCTAGAAAGTTTGCAACAGATGGAGGAAGCAACGGCCAAGTTAGGTATTTAACTTTTAACTTCAATTTGGAGGTGATAAAGACAGACTTTAATAAGGTAATAAAATTTGGATAGAAAAAGTTGTCTTTTACATGTAAACACTGTTAGGATGCTAACAGGTCACTTTTGCTGTTGTTGTTATGTGTCATTGAGGTGGAACCAACTCATAGCTGACCCTAATCAGTTTCCAGAGGCTGTAACTCCAGCTGGAGGAGATAGCTTCTAATTCTCCTGAGCAGCAGCTAGTGGACTCAAACCACTTACCTTGAGGTTAGCAGTGCAGCTCTTTTCCACTTCTAGGTCACTAGAACTCCTAATACAGGTCATTAGTGGCCTTGAAGGATATTAGCAGGACTGGCAACTTTATCTTAAAGCTGGTTTATGGTGGCAGACATTTTTGGTTCAGAGCCCTCTGTTTTATTTTTCTTTAAGGTAACAACTTGATCTTGTTCACAAGTATGTCCTTAAACTTCACAAGAAAATATCTTCCTTTAATGCCATGATTAGAATGTCAGACATTCTTCTAGGTGGTATAGCACTGGTCTGTGCATTGCTGTACAGGGGTAACTCGTGGTTGCTGTGATGCTAAACACTGTGACACTGATGTGCCAAATGTGATAATGATTACCCGTGGTGGACTGTGTTTGGTGGGGCTTCCCGATTAAAACAAGCTTGGAAGCAGGAGTGGCATCCACTTCCTAAATGGCTTGCCTCTGGAATCTCTATGAACAGTGCTCAGGCCTTTCGTTCATAGGGTTGCTGTGAGTCATCTGTGATTTGTAGGCACCTAACAGCCATAATTGCTGTATCCAATCTAGGTTTTGCTAAGGTTATCTCTACAGAGAAAAATTAAATTGGTGAACTTTAAATATTGAAAACCATGACTTGTTAGTTTAATATTAAGAGGCACTGCTTGCCAGAGGGACATTTTCCAGCTCTTGTGCTTAGAATCTAGATATGGGAATGGAGATCGGAAACGGATAGTTGAATCAGACCTACTAGAGAAGAAAGCTAGGTAGCTACAGGCTTGAAGATGGTTATGAATAACCAACCCTTGGTGTTTTTTTCTTTCGTTTGCTTGGAAGCAGCTTTTATTCTTTGCTTATGATGTGTGTTGTTGAGTGGATTCTAACTCATAGTGACTATAGGACAGAATAAAATTGCCCTATAGTGTTTCCTATGTTATAATCCTTTTGGGAGCAAGTCACAAAGTTTTATTTCCTGTAAAGCCACTATGGTCATTGTGTACTATAGAGTCAGAACCAACTCATAGCTGACGTTCTTGCAAGTTTTTAGAGGCAGTTCAATAGCAAAGGAGGAGATTGCCTGTTTTTCTCCCTCGCAGCAGTGGATTATAACTGCATGCTTTAGGAATGACAGCGCAGTTCAAACTTCCATCCTGTCAGTTAGCAGTTTAAGAACTTAATAATTGTGCCAACAGGTCTCCATGGTGATTAGGATAGTGGTTCTATGTGGAATGAGGGTGCTCTGGGGCCTAGTGGGAAGGAGTTGTGCTGTCAACCCACTACCAAGACACCTGTTTCAAATCCACCAGGGAGATCTCCATGGGAGAAAAATTGGCAATCTTCTGTGTGATTTACAGCTTCTAAAACCCACTGGAGGGTAGCTATGAGGTGGATACAACTTAAGGACATATAATAACAATAAACAACATATGGAATGAAGAGACCCCTGGTATATAACTCTTAGGGAATTGTGTACTGCCAACCTAAAGGCAGTGCATCGCTGGATGTTCAGATCCACGAGTGACTCCATTAAAGAAAGATGGGAAATCTCCTTCTGTGCAGTTACAGCCTTCAGAACCTGCTGCAGGAGTAGCTATAGTTTGATTACGATTTGATGGCAATGAGTAAGTGACTGAATGATTTGGAAGAAATAAATGAATCTTTTCATGTACATGTCTAAATTTTCTGGTTTCTTAGAGAAGCATTCACTTTTTATAAACCTAGCGTTAAGAAGCAGATTTTCGGACCACCAGATGCTCTCTACTGGAGAAGGAGGGGGCAATCTCCTCCTGTACCAGTCAGATCTGATTTGATGGTACATGTAAAAATAATACAATAAAAATTAAAAAAAGAAGAAGCAGATTTTCTAAGTGTAACATGTTATGTAGGATAGGTTTTTTTCATGTTTTGTTGTCAACATGAGGATAACTCCCATTCTAAAAGAAAAGTTATCCAATGGTCTGTGGAAATTATCAGACAATATCATTAATATCACATGCAAATGAAATCTTGCTGAAGATTATTTAAAAATGGTTGGAGCAATTCATCATGAGGGATTATCAGAAATTCAAGTGGGATTCAGAAGAGGCTGTGGCCTAAAGGATATCACTGAGGATGTCAGATGGATCTTGGCTGAAAGCAGAAAATACCAGAAAAATACTTAGTTGTTTTTTATTGACTATGCAAAGGCATTTGACTGTACGGATCATAGCAAGTTATGGTTAATGTTGAGAAGAATGGAATCCTAGAACACTTAATTAACCTATACATAGTTCCAGAAACAGTTGTTAAAACAGAATAAGGGTACACTGCAAGGTTTAGAATCAGGAAAAGAGTGTATCGATGTTGTATCCTTTCTCCATTACAATTCAACTGGTTTGCTGGGCAAATAGATTGAGGCACTGAACTATATGAAGAAGAATGTGGCATCAAGATTGGAGGAAGAATGAATGGTGAGCCGTGGTGGAGGTTTTCCTGGTTTCGGACCCCCAGCATCCGGATGGTGAAATCCTGCGTACAGAGGATCCTCAAGAGCCATGGTTTCACCAGAGAGAAAGGGGATAAACCCACCATCCTCACCAGCTGCACCAGGACACTCCTCAGCTTGCATAGCCGGGGTGGCCAGCAGCGAGAGTTCCAGGGTGTCTTCCAGTTGCTGTAGTCACCTCGGCCCAGGGCCTCGGTGGTGCTCCTGATGTCCCTCACCCACCATGAAGATCCCAGGTGGGCCAGGGCATAGTCAGAGGGATCACAATCTTTCAGCAAATTTATTTTACTCTGATAATTGTCTGAATGTAATAGGAACTAGCATCTAATGACAAGAAGAGAATTCTTAATGTCCAATCCAGGCTCCCAGGCCAAACACGTCACCTGGAGGACTGCACTCAGCAGCAGTAGCCTCTACCTTGAGCTCCCAGGGGGTTCCCTGCCGGAGGGGAGCAAAGACAGGCTCGCAGCTCTCCTTGAGTTTGCTCCTTGTGGACCACATCTTCATCTGCTTCCATAGAAACCAAGATGACAGCACCGCCTTGCTCTGGACCTTCAGCTTCCTGGGCTGTGAGATTGTGAGACTGGGGCATCTCCTTGTCCCCGAGAGACCCTACGCCTGTTCCGTGGTCTGCATGCTTGAGAGAGATTTCTCCAGGAAGGACTAGTGGCCCCAGCCAGCCATCAGAGGAGGTCTGGTCACCCCAGGGCTGTCCCTCCTTTCTGGTTGTGTCCACATGTTGTAATTGTGCAAATAAATGCTCACTTAAAATTAGCAGTAAAAAAAAAAAGATTGGAGGAAGACTCCTCAACAAACTGTATTATACAGGTGACACAACTTTGCAGAAAGTGAAGACTTAAAGCACTTACTGCAAACAATTAAAGATTTTAGCCTCCAATATGAGTTATATCTTGTTAGAAAAACAAAAGTTCTTATCACTGGACACTAAAAGATGGAGAAAAGATTGATATTCTCAACTACTTCATTTTGCTTTAGTCCACAGTTAACAACAATGGCAGCAGCAGTCAAGAAATCAAAAGATATATCACAGTGGGAAAATCTCCTGTCAAGGACCCCTTCCAAGTGCCAAAGAGCTAGGATATCAGTTTAAAGACAGAGATGCACCTGATCTAGCTGTGTATTTGCAGTTGCTTCCTATGCATTTAAAAGTTAGACAATGACTAAAGAAGACTGAAGAGCTTATACCCTTTGTGTTGTTGAAGAATCTTGTCCTGTGTGATTAACTGCCTCTGAAAACCCTTTGGGGGTCAGCAGTGGATTGCTTCTGACTCCATGGTACTCAACAAAAACAACCACCACCACCATTCCCTGGACTGCCCAAAGAACAGACAAGCCTATCTTGGAGGAGGTGCAACCAAGGTGATCCTTAAAAGGCAAGGATGAGGAGCTCTGGTGGCCTAGTGGCAAGAAGCTGCACTGCAGTCCCAGAGGTGCGTGGTTCAAATCCACCAGATGATCTGCTGGAGAAAGGGCCAATCTCCTCCTTGTACCAGTCAGATCTGATTTGACGGTACACATGTAAAAAATAGGAAATAAAAAAAAAAATAAAAGCAAGAATGGTAAAACTCCATCTCACATGCTTTGGGCATGTTATCAAAAAGGACCAGCCCTTGGAAAAGAATATCATGCTGGGAAAGGAGAGTCAGTAAAAAAGAGAAAGAGCCATGAGGTGGATTCACACAGTGACTGTTAATAGTGGGCTCAAGCATGGGGAATTCATGAGGATAGGGCAAAGTTCAGATCTGTTGTTCATAGAGTCACTATGAATTGCAGTTGATTCAGTGACACCTAGCAACAACAATAACAACGTTAACATGTATTACTGTTAGTGAGACAAAAGACTGCACTGGGCAAAGCTGTTGCAAGAGACCTCTTTTTGTGCAAAAGCAAAGATAGCACTTTGAGGATGTGTTTGAACCAAGCCATGGTATTTTCAGTTGCCTCAGATGCATTCTAAAGCTGGGCAAGGAGTAAGAATAATTGGAGAAGAACAGATGCCTTGGGTTTTCTGTGTTAGTGATGAGTACTGAATACACCATATGGGCTTCCAGAAGAACTAATACATCTGTCTTGGAAGGGGTATAGCCAGAATAATCGTTAGAATTGAGGCTGGAGAGCCTTCTGAAGAAGGACATAATGCTTCGGTCACTGGAAGAGGAAGACCCTTAATAAGGTGGATTAATGGAGTGGCTGAAGCATAGCCGTAACGAGGAGGATGGGGCAGGTCGGAGCAGAGTTTCATGCTGTTGTGCACAGGATTGCTAAGAAATGGAACTGACCAGATAGTACCTAACAACAGCAATAACACTGGCACTTAGAGGGAACCTTGCTTAGACATGGTCAGGTGAGGGAAGTGTTGTAAAGTTGATTGAGGAAGTAAATTGCTCTACTGAGAGACTGGAATTCTAGCAATTGAGAGATTATTCTGTAAACCTTAGAACTCTTTAAACACTGGACTGTCTCATCTTTAGCCCCTCACAAACTTGACTATTTTTCTCCTTCCTCCTACACGCCCTGTCATTGTGATGATTCCTCCTCTCTGGTCCCATGAGATAACTTCATCTGTATTTCTCCTTATCTGTGTCCTCAGCTGCCTCAAGGCTTGCACTTACTCCTCTTTCTGTCACGTTTGGTTTCAGGATCTGTGAATGCTTGTGAAAAGACCTCATTTATGTTTCTTCGGCAAGAGTTGCCTGTTAGATTGGCAAATATAATGAAAGAAATAAGTCTACTGCCAGATAATCTTCTCAGGACGCCATCAGTTCAACTGGTACAAAGCTGGTAAGACCCCTGCCTTGTGTTTTCAGTTCTGATGGAGTCATGGGCTTTACTCAACTTTAAAGCAAATGTGGTTCTGTTTGTTTTGTTTTTAAAATTGTAACTATTTGTCATTTGCCATCATTTCTCTGACTCATGACAATCTCATGAATGTTGCAATAGAACTTGCTTTCTAGGGTTTGAATGAGTAGTTTTTCTGAAATAGATTGCCTGGCTTTTCTTCAAAGGTGAACTTGAATTTTCAGCCTTTTGGTTAAGAGTTAAGGGCATTAACCCTTTGCATCACCCAGTAACTCTCGGATTTAAGTCATAGACATTACTTCAGAAAGCATGACTTTGTACCAGATGCCCCGCTGGAGAAGGAGGGACAGTCTCCTCCTGTGCCAGTGGGATCTGATTCGATGGTACATGACGGGGGGGGGGCGTGGGGAGGCAAGCATGACTTTCTGAACTTTCGTTTCCACTGTTGTAAATTGGGGATGTAAGTATCTCTCTACAAAAACTGAAATGAGTTCACACTTGCTTGGCCATGTTGAGACTCCATGCAGACCTCTTCTGTTTTTACTTTTACCCCTAGGTCTGTAGAGTTTTTCTTCATACGTAATCAAACTAACTTTTATCTCTTTTCAGAAAAATTATAATAGAGATGTTGAGGGTATACACACACATGGCCAATTTTGTTATTATGTTAATTATATTAATTTGTAACTGTCAGTTCTTTTCTCTCTCTTTCTCATTGCCATCAAGTTGGAATCCATTCAGCTGACCATTCATCATCCAGTTTTCAAGGGCTGAAAGTCACATAGCAGGAATTTGCCCCATCTTTTACCTGAGAGTAGATGGTGGGTGGGCAGCGCAACTCTACCTATTAGGCTACCAGAGCTCCCTATCAATTCTTTTAATCACAAAACATCTCAAACAAAGATGGGAAGTATCTTCCTGGGTGATTTTTTAGTCTCAGAAGCCCGATGAAGAGTCAGCTATGAGCTGGTTCCAACTTGAGGGCAGAGAGTTGAGGTGAGTTCTGCCTTTATGAAAATCACATATTAAATCTAAATTTAATTTAGAGAAGAGACATTTGTTTAGGAAATAGAATGAATATAAAAGAAAATCTATTTTTCTATAGGAGTTCTGTTTTTTCTTTTTTAACTCTTCATTAAAAATAAAATAGGACTACATTTTTGAAGTTTAGTTTATGCCTAGCATAAATATGCAAATGTTTCTTAAATTGAATGCAGTATTTCTCACGACTAAAGAGAAAATTAAGGGTTTAACAATACTGAATCACTTATATGTCACTTTGGAATGCAGTGAGAAATTTTACTATTTAGGGACAGCTTTATGCACTGACATATGATTTACAGAATTTTTAATAACACTTTCTTTGCTGCCTGTAGGAGGTCAGGTGTTGGCAGTGATTAAACTCTTGGCTGCTAACCAAAAAGTCAGAAGTTTGAACCCACAAGCTGCTCCATGGGAGAAAATGTGTCATTCAGCTTCCATAAAGATTATAGCCTTGAAAACCCTAAAGGACAGTTCTGCTCTGTCCCATAATGTCACTATTAGAATCAACTCAATAACAAGGTTAGATATTCTTGCTGCCTGGGTCCTGGAGGTTGCTGAGCCAGGGCAGTTGTAAAGAAAGCACTGACAGACTTTAGTTCAGGCTCTGCACTGCCATTACCTGACTTCTTTCACTGCTCTTATACCTGACTTCCTTCACCGCCTTTATACCTGGCCTTCTTACCTTAAGAAAGCCTTTTTCCCCCTCAGTGTATCCCTTAACAAGTGTTTCCTTCCTTAAATTATTCAATAAATTATAAACCTGTATTTTTGTGACTTCTGTGTTTTTTAAGTTCTGTTGAAAAGAACCATATGTTACATAGCAGACTTTCAAGAAATATTTGTTGATTGGCTACAAACATCTAAACTCTAAGTGTTAAACAAAGATATTTAAGTTACGCTTTTCGAGCAGGAATAGGCTGGCTCCTTGTTTTACCAAGACTGAAAAAACCCTTCCAAATCTTTGCTTTTGAGTTGGAACCAACTTATCACTGACCTTCCATTGGATTTCTGAGGCTGTAAATCATACAGGAGGAGATTGCCTGTTTTTGTCTCACAGTGCTGCCAGTGAATTTGAACTGCCAGAGAGATGCAGACTTTTGGTTAGTAGTTCAATTCCCTGTGCACCAGACCATCAAGTCATTTGCCTAAGATTATATAGTTATTGGTGATAGATTCAGTTCTCATAATGCTGTTGTAATGCTTGATTTTAAACAAGAGAAATTGTACACTACTTTTAGGGTATTGATTTTTTTTTTTAAGCCAGGTTTTTGTTGTTGAGTAATTTTCCACTCATAGTGACTTCGATATGATAAGTAGAACTGTCCTGTCGGGCTTCTGAGCTGTAATTTTCACAGGTATAAGCTCTAGCTACTCACTGGTTAAATGTTTGGTTGCCAACACAAAGCTTGGTGGTTCCAGCCCACCAGAAACTTTGCAGGAGAAAAGAACTGGTGATCTGCTCCTGTTTACAGTTATAGTCTACAACCCAGTGAGACAGTTATGCTTTGTCCTGAAACAGTTATGCTTTGTCCCAGAGGATTGTTCTGAGTGGGAATCAACTTGACATCATGCAACAATAGCCATCATAATACACAACAACAATAACAATACTTTACTGGAGCAAATCATCAAGCCTTTCCCCCAAGTTCCTTGTGAATTTAAATTTCCAAACTTCTAGTTAGCAGCCGTTGTGTTGCTTTTGAGTCCCCCCACTTCTTCTTAAAAAAAAAAGGTAAGACATCTTGAAATTCTTACATCAGATTTGACATATGCTTTGAGAAGAAAATGCACTCTCTACTACACACTTTTTTTCTGCTACAACTGACTTTTTGTCATGCATTTTGTTGAAATGTGAGTGAGTGTAAAAATTCTGCATTAACCCTAACTAATGTGTGGATCACAGTGAATTCTGGTTAACATTGAGGAGCATGGGAATCCCAGAACACTTGATTGTGATCATGCAAACCTTGCACTTGGACCAGGAATCAGTCCTCAGAACAGAGCAGGGAAACATTACAAAGTTCAAAATCAGGAAGGGAGTGCATCAGGGATGCATCTATCTCCATACCTTTCCAATCTATATTCAGAACAGATCATTTGGGAGTCTGGGCTTTACAAGGAGGAATGTGGCATCAGGGTTGGAGGAAGACACATCAACATCCTACATTATGCAGATGACACAACCTTGCTTGCTGAAACTGAGGTGGACCTGAAGTGCTTGCTACAGAAGGTCAAAGACTGTAATCTTCAATATGAATTAAAGCTCAACATCAAGAAAACAAAGATTCTAAGCGCTGGGCCAATTGGCAGCACCATGATGGATGGAGAAGAGATTGAGGCTGTTAACAGTTTCAGCTTGCTTGGCTCCACAATCAACACTTTTGGCACCAGAAGTCAGAAAATCAAAAGACAAATTGCATTAGGTATATCTGCTGTCAGGGACCTTCCCAGAGTACTGAGAAGCAACAATGAAAGTCTAGAGACTTAGGTGTGCCAGATCCAGTCCATGGTCTCTGCAATTACCTGCTATGCATCAGAAAGCTAGATAATAGATTAAGGATGGCAGAAGAATAATTGATGCCTTTGAGGTATGGTGCTTGAGAAGAGTCTCGAACATACCATGGACCACCAAGAAAACAAATTGCTTTGTTTTGGAGTGGGTGAAGCCAAGTTTCTCTTTGGGGTCAAGGGTTTTGAAGCTCTGTCTTACATATTCTGGGCATGTGGCCAGAAGGGACTGATCCTTGGAGAAGAACATCATGCTTGGAAGGGTGGAGGGAGAGTGTAGGAGAGGAAGACCCCGAATAAGATGGATTGCTACAGTAACTAGGTCAATGGGGGTAGGTGTGTCGAAGTCATTGAGACTGGCTCAGGACAGGGCAGGTGTCAGAGCTGTTGTAGATAGGGTCACTATGAGTTGCAGGCAACTCAACAACACATAATGGTAACAGTAGCAGTTCTAAATAAAAAAAATGTTAAGAAAAATAACTTTTTTAAGCACTGTCACTATTTTGGGCTTTCAGAATGTAAAAGAACAAATTTGCTGTATTGATTTGCATTTTAGGTATATCCAGAGTCTTCAGGAACTTCTTGATTTTAAGGATAAAAGTGCTGAAGATGCAAAGGCTATTTATGAGTAAGTACACTCTTTGACTATTTTGGAAATAAGATTTATATGTGTTGTAAAAAGACTAAAGGTAATGTGGACAACATGGAAGGGCAGAGACAAACCTTCCCGAGCTCCACAAAGGAGGCCTGTCCTCTTCCACATCCGTACTACGCTACTAAAATAATAGCTACAAGGGCAGACACAGTGTCCACCCCTGCCCTCACCCCAAAGGCTCTTGCACCTGCTTCTACTAATCACTGGGCCCCATGTTCATTGCAGATTGGCTCACAGACTTTACTTACAGTTGTGGAGTTTATTAGGGAAATAGGTTGAGCGGTAGGGGAGGCAGAGGTTATCACAGAGGGAAAGTACAGGTTTAGTGAACAGTAGCCCCAAGCCAAATTAACAGCTAAACACACTTCCTCAATTTGTTCAGATAGTTTCTCAGTCAACAAGTAAAAGTTAAGGTTCAGTTCAGCAGCACAAATGCAAGAAGCCTCTGGTTCTTCAATTGACTAGCAAGCTTTGTATCATAGCGGTCACAAGTCAGCTCTTCCTTCAGTGGTCCAGCAAGCAAAACCTTTAACTCTGGCTCCATCTCCAGGGCTCCAAAAGACCACATCTCACCAGAGTCTGTCCACAGTCCCTTTTATGTTGCCGCACAGCTGTTGATAATGGAGAAGATGCTGATCAATGATGAACCACTTTTTGCAGTTGAGGCAGCTGGAGATCAGAGGGAGGCTTAGACTAGAAGGGACTAAGACAATGGTTAGGAAAGCCATTTTCAAAAGTCCTATTACCACACTTGTTAACCTCATGTAAAGAAAGTAAATGCATTAAACTAATTTTAAACAAATCCATCACCTTTATTTTCCCACTATTCTAGAACATATGCTAATATAGGTATCTAATAACAGTCAGTATAGGTAATAGTAACACCAGCCATTAAATTAGGCTGGCTATGAGAACTACTTCATCTAAGTCTACTATGAGGAAAAACACACTTCACATAATGACTTAGATGTAGTGGACATTAAAATGTAACCTCAGGGTCACTTAAGAGAAAATAAGAACATGAAGCAGACTGTTGACCTGGAGAGCTCTTCTCTTAGGAATCTGTTACACAGTTTTAAATTGTCTTTAAATGCGGTAGCAATACTTTGAAACATGTGTTTTGAAAAGATATTAATGAAAAGATTTTGCTTGGGAAATGTAACATTCATCGAGTTTAACTTGGCATTTGGTTTAACTTGATGCTTTGGCGTTTCTATGAACAGTGTCATTAAATCTTTAAAACACCTCCCCTGAGACAATGTTGTTTGTGTTACAAAGGTGTTAAGTAACTTAAGGTCATGTAGCTAGCCAATGTCAAGATTTGGACTCAAGCAGTCTTGCTTAAAAGTACAGGACCTTCTGAAAACTGATTAGTTTTTCAGAACTCAAGTCTGGAAAATATGATGATTGAGCAGAAGAATAGTATTTGGTTGGTGTGTGTGTGTGTGTGTTTATTTGTTTTTTATTTTAAAGAAAATAACTAGAAATTATGAGTTGTTTGTTTTCAAGTTTTGTTTGTAGTTTGGGTTAACAGTTTGATTTTGAAGCTAATTACAAAGTAGGGATTCAAAAACTGTTTTGAGCAGTGGAAGCATCCTTGGAATAAGTTAATAGTACTCAAGGTGCTTTGAATGTGAAAGCACTCATTTGAAGTGTAAATTCTGATGAGTATTTTAGAAGACTGGTTTTGTTACTTCATAATTAAAACTCCTTTCCTCTTTTATTTGGTTTTCTAAATTAACCAGGCAATAATGTCTTTCAAATGACAGTGATGGGAAGGCTGAGCAATCGAAAAGTTTTTCTTTTAATAGGATTGTCTACCTCTCCTTTTCAGTTTTGTAAAACTATAGGATGAATGAAATGCTATCTCTTTTCTGTTCTTCTGTTCTAAGGGTTTGTTTTGTTTTTTTTTTTTCTTTCTGTCTGAACCCCAGTGATTAGTTCCAAAGTTATGCAGGCTTTATTTGACCTTTTGCTTCCTTTCCTTACAGAGCACATGTCCCATAGAAGCAAGCTCCCTGTCTTCTCTCACACTAACAGTCTCTGAAACACCATCCTTGTAGGGACTGCTAAGATGAGCTCAGATGAGTTAAGAAAACCCTTAACATTTGCAGAACTGTGTTTTGTGGCAGCCTGATGTTTCAGGCATTCCAAGAAAAGAGTTTAATCTTTTATACCTTTATTGATTCTGTATACTTTCTTTGTTGATGTGCTGTCTAGTTGGCTCTGACTCATAGCTGACCCTCCAGGGGATTTTCAAAGACTGTAGATCTCATGAGAGGAGATTGCCCATTTTTTCCCAATGGAGCAGCTGATAGATTCAAACCATGTCCCTCTGGATTGGCAGCACAATTCCTTACCACTAGGCTACCTAGAGCTCCCTCTATAGACTTTATGACCTGTGTTATACTTAGGAAACATGAACTGATGTTCCTTTTGGTTAACCCGGAATTGCTTTGTAGTATATTTGGCTGAACTTGTTTTTTAGTATTAAATTTACTTCTTAACAATCTTTGACCATTTTGACAGACAAATTTGTTTAGCTTTACAGATACTGTGATACGGATCAGGAACCGTCACAATGATGTCATTCCGACGATGGCTCAGGGTGTGATTGAGTATAAGGAGAGCTTCGGGGTGGATCCCGTCACCAGCCAGAATGTTCAGTACTTTCTGGATCGTTTCTATATGAGTCGCATTTCCATTCGAATGTTACTCAATCAGCACTGTAAGTGTCCACAAGTCAAGAGAAGAATCTCAGACAAATAGATTTTACCTTTATCCTTAGAACTCTGCTTCATAGAGAACATTTTTCTTTTGCAAATTAAGAAAAGTAAATAGTTACATGGACATGGTATTTTTATTGGTTATTTTATTGAATATGTGTAAGGAAAATATTTGTTCTACTATTTGGCACCATTTAGAGAAACATGAGTTGCATATGGAAAAGGGTAGTAGTTACCTTATTACTTCTTGTATTTTGACAGCTTTATTGTTTGGTGGGAAAAGCAAAGGAAGTCCATCTCATCGAAAACACATTGGAAGCATAAATCCAAACTGCAGTGTAGTTGAAGTTATTAAAGGTAAACTCTTTAAGGCTTTCCTTTCAAAAAGGATACATAGAAATAAAAAGGAATCATTATTTCTTACCTTTTAAAAAACTATATCAGATAAAATACTAAGAGCAAATAGATGGACTGTTTGAAAATAACTTTTTGACCTTTTTGTATAGTAATTATTGTAATTATTGTGGTTTAGTGAAAGTTTTCCAAGTTAATTGGTTTCCCAGTAGCAATTTATAGTCATTTTGTTTCATAACATTAGTTGCAATCCCATCAATGCAACAGCACTTACTTCCTGGGTACCACATTTCCATTCATCCTTCTCCCCTGCCTTTTGAACTTTTTTTTGGGCAAATGTCCATTAAGTCTCATAGGTGAGTATTCTGAGGACCCAGTACCTCACAGGTGCCATTGGCTCACTTTATAAATTCATTGTCTGACAAACAGGAGATCCCTGGGAGTAGAATGAAAGTATTTTTGATACTGTGTTTTGTTAGACAAAGTGTAGTGATACTGTAGAGGAGATAACTTTCACTTCAAAAAGTTTAAAACCTCTTTCTAGTTCCCTATATTAATTAGAACAATAATTCACAACAGTTTTGTTTGCATTTTTTCCACACATTTTTGTGTTTATACCACATATGCATATATCATATAGGTACTTGATTTTTTTTTTATAAAAGAAAAGAAGGTGAGATACTCCATTTTCTACAATTTTTAGATGTTTCTCTGGTAATACATGTATCAAAATGTATTCTAATCCGTCCATCCCATTTGATGTACACTTGGGTTTTAATTGCTTTTTTTCTATTAGTAACAAAACTGAAATGCACATTCTCAAAAATGCACTAGTATTTTAGAAAGCAAGATTCTTAGAAGTTTAACTTTTAAAATGCCTTTGCAATTTCAGCAGTTCTAACAAAGTAATAATAGATAAGTGTACTTATTGCTAAGCCCTCACCTACTCTGAAAGTTTTCAGTCACTTCTATTTTTTGCCAGTCTGACAGAGGGGGAAAAACCCCCACCTCAGTATCAGATTTTTTTTGGTTTTCATTACTTTGCATTTATTGAATCTGTGCAGCTTTTTAGGTTTATTGGCCTTCTCCCTCTTCTTCTGTGAGTTGCCCATTATATCTTTTTGCCTATTTCCTGTTGAAGTACCAAACTTCTTCTAATTTATTTTACATAAGTTGTTTTATAGTACACATAGGACATTTTTAATATATCCATATATTGGAAATATTCAACCTACTGTTTTTCTTACTTTTTTTTTTTTATACAAATGTTTTAATTTCTGCAATCAAATCTCATTCTTTTCTAAGGTATTAAGCTTTGTCAAGTCACACTTAGAAAGACCTCCCCCAAGCCAAGCCTAATAAAGTATATTTTCTTCCAGAGAGTTTAAAATACAATTCATCAGTTTTATTACTGTTTTAATGTATGGAACAAAGCTAAATTTATTTAATATGTTTTTAAAATTTTTGTTCACATTAGATGGCTATGAAAATGCTAGGCGTCTCTGTGATTTATATTACATTAATTCTCCTGAACTAGAACTTGACGAACTAAACGGTAAGCTTCATGTTATTCTTTGCTATGTGATTTGCTGAGAAAAAAATGATAGATTTTGTTTGCTAGATTTGTTTTGATAGAAAATAACTTTTTCATCAGTTTCTTTGGTGTATATAAAGGTTGAAACAGAATGGTCGTATTTTTGAAAAAGATCCACAAACTCATGTTTTAATTAATTTGGAAAATATTTTTTTTTTGCTCTGTTTGACTTATTTTTAATTTACAACTTTTTAATTTGTTTGGTTTTAGAAACAATGATGTTAAAAAGGTATCATTTGACTTCTATGCTTTTCAGTAACATAAGGTTTACCCAAGTAGAAAATCTGTTTTTACTACTGAGGAAGTAAAAAGGCTGGGGGAAGAAAGGAAGCAAAGATGTGCATCCTTTTGAGAACCTCAGTTTGATGGTTTTCTTTTCACTGTGACTCAGAAGCCTGGTCTCTAGAAGTCAGAGCTCAGTGAGTGAGTGTTTTTTAAACAAAAAGGCTAGAATACCTTGGGAGGAGATTAATGGCTTTTACTAAGCCTTTTACTAAGAAGCCCTGATGGCACAGTGATTAAGTGCTTGGCTGTGAACCATAAGGTCGGCTGTTAGAATCCATCAGCCACTTCTTGTGAGGAAGGTGTGACAGCTGCTTCTGTAAAGATTTACAGCCCACAAAGCCCTGTAAAGCTGTTCTATTTTGGCCTATGGGGTCACTGCAGAAGTTCTAAACAACTTGATGGTAACATTTAAGCTGTGTTTTGAACTTTAGAAAGTGTGAGCAGTGGAAATAGTTTTCCAGTTTAAAACAGAATTGCTTCCCCCTCGTCCTGCTTCCCCACCGCCTGCCCCCCACCAAAACTGTATAAACATAGGGCGCTCTGGTGGCATAATCTGTAGGGAGTTGCACTGCTGACTCAAAGGCCTCATCTCTTGGTTCAAATTCACTGGCTGCTTGAGGAAGAAAGATGGGAAATCTCCTTCCTTAAAATTTATCACCTTGGAACTCCATGAGTAGGTTCTGACTAAATGGCAATGAGTTATAAAATAAAAACTTAGTCACTGAAGGTTGTTGTTGTTGTGTGCCATTGAGTCAGAACTGACCCATAGCTGACCTGCCAGTGGGTTTTCAGAGGCAGTAATCACACAGGAGGAGATTGTCCATCTCGTGGAGCAGCTGGTGGATTTAAACTGCATCCTTTTGGGATTGCAGCACCACTTCTTACCACTACACCACCATCTCATTCAGTAAAAACAAGTTACAATATACAGGTGATAGTTTGGGAACTGAACTATTGTGAGGTGTAGAGATCCATGTTCCAAGGGCACATGCAGGAGGAGTCTGATTTATTGGTTGAATTAGAATTCTAAGGCATCGGTAGTCTTTATTCTTTTGTCCTATTAAAGATGCCGTTTCACATATTGTCTAACTCCTTTCCAGTGAGGTTCTATTAAATGTTTGAATGTAGAATTTTATAGAAAGCTCTGGTAAGGAGCTTCTTAGTGGTAAGGAGTTGCACTGCTAACGCAAGGGGACGCAGTTCAAATCCACCATAGGAGGAAGATGGGCAGTTTCCTCCCATGCAGTGTACTGCCTCTGAAAACCCACTGGAAGGTCAGCTAAGGGTTGGTTCTGATTTAATGGTACATAATAACAAATGTTAAAATTCATATCTGTAGCTATAGAAAGATCCAAAATAAAATAGACAAATATTCTCTTTGGGTAAAAATACTCTTTTTTAAAGATGTATTTATGTGTACTGGGAGCTCTGGTAGTACACTGCGTATGCGCCCAGCTGCTAACTGAAATGTTGCGGGTTTGAACCTACTCACCAGCTCTGTGGGACTGAGTGACTTGCTCCCTATGAGGCAGTACCATTCTGTCACTTGGGCTCTTTGTGAGTCATACACCAACTCCATCGCACCCAGTGTGGGGCCTGGACTATGAATTGATCTATGGAATTTAGAGAGTTTTCTTAACATTTCCCTTTGGGAAGTGGCCTTTAAAAATTAGTCAGTGTAGCTGAGAAGAATGGGAGGAGCAGGTTGATTGTTATGCAGGGTTTCTAGAAATGACTATACTTGTTGTCATTGCTATTAAATCTATTTGAGGATGGGGTCCCACCACTAATCCAGTGAAGAGCAAGTGGCATGACACTTCTCTCCCAAATGATACAGTTAGTCCTCCATAGTAAACGTTTTCTTTTCATCACTACACAATTTATTCTTAAAAATGCTTTAAGCGTATCTCTCTGTTCTTTTCTATTTTTCTCTTCTGCTCTGTAGCAAAATCACCAGGACAGCCAATACAAGTGGTTTATGTACCATCCCATCTCTATCACATGGTGTTTGAACTTTTCAAGGTTTGTAAAATAACCTCTACCAGTCTTTTCTTGAGGTTAGGCATCTGCTCTGAAAGTTAAATACTCCAATAAGATCCCCTCAGTTTCAGTAAAAGAGGACTGTTTTTCACATGCATTTCTGGAGATCAGCATTCTGTCAGTCCTGAAGAACAGCTCAGTGTAGTGGTTAAGTTGAGACTTCAAAGTTAGAAAGACATAGGTTTGAATCCCAGCTTGGCCACTTATTAGCTGTGTGACCTTGGACAAGTCACTCAACCTCTCTGAGCCTGTTTCCTCTTTTGTTAATAACTAACATCCATGTCAATACAAGATGTTCAATAAAAGTCATGTTTTTATAAAACAAAGAATTTTAAAGAACCATTCTTGAGTTTCTACTCTTAAAGAACTAGAGTCCCACTGTTAGACGACACTTGGTCATAGACAGGAAAGTAGTGAATGAGGAGGTACTGGCCACGCTGGCTCAAAACAGCTACCCTAAATACAGCTCCTCTGGTGTCTAGTAATTTTCTTCAGCGGACAGCAAATTAGAAAGGAGTCAACTCTCTTATCTAATTATAAAAAAGGAAAATAAACCAAAACAAGAGAATTGACTCAATATCTTATAAACAGCAAGTAGGTGATTCCATTTGGTAAGCTTTGTTCTAGGAGTGCAAGAACATGTCTAATACTTTACTTATACATTTTCCCTATTAATTGGTTAACAGTGGTTGATACCTCAAGGGACAAAATAATTTTCTTGTGCTATATTACGTATCTGACATAATGTCAGCAATAATGGCTTAGGTCTGGAACCTAATCTTAAATGACCATTAGGTGAGATGAATAGATCTCTTCAGAGATACTCATCCCTGATGGTGATGTCAGAGTCAGATATCCTTTTTCCCCTCAAAATTCAGCCTCATCTTTTTTAGTTGTCTTTATCAATTTCTACTCTAGTGCTTCATGTCACATTGCTATTCTTTAATGCCTATAGTTAATAGCATTTTGTACCCTAGATCCTATTGAAACTAATCAAAGGAAGCTTTACAGATTAAATATCCTTTATTTATAACTCAAGTGGCCTAGTGGTAAGAAGCTGCAATCCCAAAGGCACACAGTTTGAATCCACCAACTGTGCAGGGGTAAAGTTGGGCAGTCTCCCTCCAGTGTGATTTACTGCCTCTGAAAATCCACTAGAAGGTCAGCTGTGAGGTAATTCCGACTCTATACCACATAACGGTGGCAGTTTTACACTAGTGATAATTTGATTAGGTACTGCATGGTAATAAGGCCATTGCTGTTAATATATATATAAAGTTTCTTAAATTTATGAAAAATTGTTCTTGAAAAGAAGCTGTGTTTTCAAAAAAATACAGCTATATAATGCTTGCCCATTATATACTAAAATTGAAAAACAATTTGAACAAAATTTTCTACTTTAATCTATACTCGTTAAAGGTGTTTAGAAGCTTGGTTTTGGAAAATAGGCTTAATTTAGTTGAAGACTTTAAATAAAAATATCTATCTCCCAAATCTCTAAAATTGGGAAAATTTAAATAACTTTTGGAAAATGGTTATAAGAATTATGATTCTTTGTTATATTTCCAAAGTATTAATGTTTCTTAAAAAAATACAAATAGTGAATATATACTTTTGACAATCTAATTACTTTATTTCCTTTTTGTAAATAAAAAAAATTGCGTTTTTAATATAACCCTAATGTGTTTCAGAACGCAATGAGAGCAACCATGGAATACCATGCTGACAAGGGTGTTTACCCCCCTATTCAAGTTCATGTCACATTAGGTAATGAGGATTTGACTGTGAAGGTAAATGCATTTTTTTTAAACGGTATGTAAGTCAACATACAAAAATAACCATGTACACAACTTCTAAAAGATACAACTTCCCGGGTAAATAAATCCTGCTGCTAAGAAACTTAAATTGGCAGATTATGGAATTATTTATGTTGCGTTTGTATGTATGCTGGTCCTAATCCAGGTGATTCAAGTTAAAGTAAATCCTAGAGACAGACAAGGTAACAATAATTGTGATAAGAAAAACTGGATGAAATATGTTTATGGCATTGAAGTCTATGGGGCAGAGAATAGTTTAAAAGTACTATATTTTAGGGCATTATGTTTATCGTAAGAGTACGGAATGAGGGTTGCAGAGTGGATTATATTTGGGGTTGGTTGTGGTTGGGGTATGTGCGGCAGGGATTGTGTACCAATGAGGGAGTTTTTCTTTTTCTTTTCAAGGAGAGGAGCAAATGGGGGGGGGCGGGGAGAAGGGTGCAACAATGAATGAATGGAATTCCAAAATCTCTGTAGATGTTCATTGAAATGAAAAATAAATAAATAAATTTAAAAAAAGATCTAAAATATTTTGTTATGTGCAGGATGTAATTTATTACTAAGTATTTCATGATGCTGTTGTATTGTGATTGCTTTCTTAATTTTGAATTATGCATTACTCATATATGGAAATACAGCTGATTTTTGTGTGTGGCTTTTGTTCCCCGCAACCTTGAAAAACTGCTTTATTAGCTCTCATCGATTTTTTTTTAATGGAATCCATAAGATTTCCTATATACAATATTATGTCACTGCAAACAGAGCTGATTTTACGCCTTTCTTTCCAATATGGGTGGATTTCTCCTTACCCTCTCTTTGTTAAGTTGCTCTGGCTTGAATCTTCACTACAGTATTGATTAGAAGTGACAAGAACTGCTATCTGTGCCTCTTTTTTCTATCTTGGAAGGAAAACGTAGAGAGTTTCCCTGTTGTTGTTGTTATGTGCCGTCGAGTCACTTGCGACTGATAGCAACCCTGTGTTCAACAGCCCTAAACTC